GTTCAGTGCATGTTCTTGCTGCACCTTAATGACTCTCACTTTCTGCTCTTTCTCAGCTTCAGCTTCTAAAAGCTAACAGCACCATTTACATAGTGGAGCAAACATGAAAATATAATAATAATAAAGTCGGGTGAGACAGTTTCCTATCTGGGCCATTGCGGACCGGGTTGAGTGAGTGTGTGAGTGTGTGTGTGTGTGTGTGTGTGTGTGTGTGTGTGTGTGTGTGTGTGTGTGTGTGTGTGTGTGTGTGTGTGTGTGTGTGTGTGTGTGTGTGTGTGTGTGTGTGTGTGTGTGTGTGTGTGTGTGTGTGTGTGTGTGTGTGTGTGTGTGTGTGTGTGTGTGTGCACTCCTCACAGCAGTGAGAAAGAGACAGAGAGCTGCCGCAGCTTCAGTTAGGCGCAACATATACATCTCAGCATCCAGAGTTATAATGTATCACACGTGGGAAGCCCCCGCTGGTTATTTCTATCCACCAATCGGAGGCTCCTCCTAATGGTAGGTGTATATTTGAGCCGGCCAATCAGTCGTAGTGGGTGTGTTGGCCAGAACCAACCCTGAGTGGACCACCAGAGGATAAGGGCCGAAAACCGCCCGGGACAAGGAAAAGTACCAGGCCACCCAGGTATGAGCACAATGTATCTAATGCGAGCCGGGCTGAGCGGTACCAGATGTGAAACTCCTTGTTATTTGTTAGTGACTGACTGTGCTGCACCAACAGAAGGTGGACAGATTAAAAGACAGAGGTTTTACAAAGCGAGCTGCAGGTTCTAATCTCTCATCCCCAAGAAGAACCAGAAACAGGACATTCATCTTTATTTTTCATTATATTGAAAAACAAAGAAAGGCAATGTTTTTTTAATTGAGATTCATATTTCATCTTGCTTGTGAGCACTTTTATACAAGTTGGTAAAAATAATTTACTTATTTACAGTTTCCATTGCTTTCTTTTACTGTTCTTCACTTAACGTGTTGTTTTGAATCAGATTGTTTCCATTAATCTGTTCTACTTGTGTGTCTTTAATACATTTAATTGCTTGCAAAACTCTTGGCTTATCGGTCAATCTACATTCCTACCCTCACCTATGGTCACGAGCTTTTGGGACCATGAACGAGATTGCGGATACAAGCGGCTGAAATTAGTTTTCTCCGCAGAGTGGCTGGGCTTTCCCTTAGAGATAGAGTGAGAAGCTCAGTCATCCGGTTTTGGAGTAGATCTGCTGCTCCTCCACATCAAGAAGAGCCAGTTGAGGTGGCTCGGGCATCTGGTCAGGATGCCTCCTGGATGCCTCCCTGGTGAGGTTTTCCAGTGAAGTCCACCTGGTAAAAGACCCAAAGGTAGACCCAGGACACGATGGAGGGACTGTCTCTCAGCTGGCCAGGGAGTGCCTTAAGATTCCCCTGAATGTGGCTGGGGAGAGGAAAGTCTGGGCCTCCCTGCTTAGGCTGCTGCCCCCGTGACCTTACTCCAGATAAGCAAAAGAGAATGGATGGATGGATGGACTGTTGGCAAAATCTTGAATGATGTACCAATATCAGCCACTAGCAGACATGGATCATCATAGCATCTGTCCATCATGTTATCTAAAAAGAAAAATGAAGCAGATATTTATGGATATGAGTTAAAATTAGCTTCTTGATGGATGTGTCTACAGCAAAGTCTGGCTGCTGTTTCCTCCTACCTCCCATTCTTCATGTGTTGGCACAGTCACTGACATTTGTTGTAATATTAACATAATTATCAGACAGGAAAATTACTGTCACAGACAGCATTAAGGGAGGGATGGGTAAAAGTGATCATCAGGTAAGAACTTGGTGAGCAAGTACTGCAGGTCTAACACACATACTGTAGGTTTTTACCTTCATAGGAAACAGAAAAGGTGACACACTCAGCCACAACAGCAAGCACAGTCTGCTGCTGTAACACGATTTTGCGTCATGAAATACAAAATCACCTCCTTTCTCAGGGTACTTACAGATGACTTACAGAGAGGCATACTGTAAACACACAACATGCTCCATGTGTAGATGCACGCTGCCCTTTCTGCTGTGGCAAATTCATATTTTTTCATTTTCCTGTATCAACTGCAGTTTTATTTGAAAACTCTGAAAATGCCTGAATGAAAACTGCTCTCGTCGTCAGACGTTTCTCCTCCCCCTGAAGCTGGTGGTCTCAGTTCTGAAGCTTGTATATTCTGTGGATATTCTGACAAATTACTTCTGCCTTGGGGACAAACACCGCCACAAAAACCGTGTGTCCTGTAAAGATGCACGGAATGGCCAGCACAGGATAAGTATATTAGTCCAGTGGGTAGAGCGCCAGGCTGGCATGTAGATTTGCAAAGATTCACCTCCCGGTCGCAGCATTAACTTTTTTTCTCTTTTAGCTGCCAGTGTTAGGTTTTCACTCCTTTATTGATATACTGTTTAAAATATGAGTAAAGTTTTTGTATTTGTTTGTTTGTCTGTTTGTTTAGCCAGTGTGAGTCCATGTGAGGTGAGTAAATAAACTAAATTGCTGCTTTGAAAGGACCAAATTCAAAGATCTTTAGAAACACAAATTATTTTGCAGAAAATAATCAATAAAGCTAAAATATAAATAAATGAATTCTGCTTTCGCTGACTAAATCAATTACTGCCGACACTGGGAGTTGAAGTGTCAGCACATGGCTAAACAAGACAAAAGGCAGGCACTTAAACCACTAGACTACCAATGCCAACACAACAGAGGGTGTGACTACGGTGCTCTTGCAGGTGCATTTTGTCAGAGCGGACATGGGCTTCTTTTGCAGTTATAAATTCAGCCTGACAAAAATAACTTATATTTAAGATAAAATGACATCTTAATAGTGCCAATGTTAATACTGTATCATATAGTGTGTCTAACTTTGCTCTCAAAGGTTTAAACTAGCATGATCCAGCCCCTTTAAAGGACACAGCATGAAGATCGTCTCCCTATTCTTGAAACTAAGCAACACTTCCTTTCTCCTACAGGAATCAGACTCAATCATTCAAAATAAATGACCGAGAAGAGCAATTAATTTATTTATTTATGCTTTTATTTATTTATTTTTATTTTTATTTTTTTGCTTCTAAGTTGTAGATCCAGTCTAAAATCAAGTCCATTTGATCCATTTTTAAGATTTCTCTGCAGGAAGGAAAAAGTGTCTCTTTTACTCCAACTTTCAAAAGTCCCCTCCCGTCATTCATTCTTAAAGTCGCCTCACTTTTAAAGGCCTTGTTTGCGTCCCGTGAAGTATTTATATTTACAAGCAGACTCCCTTTTCCATTACTTATGCATGCAGTTTCTATCTTGCTCAATAATTTACAAAGCATCCTCACCAGAGGGAAGGGGGTAAGTATGGCCCTGAGAGCTCTGTGCTTTTTTCATTTCTCAGTAATTGTGCAGGGAGAAGGAGCCATGAGACAATGAAAGAGTTCTATTAACTCCGTGTTAAAAGAGTTATATTGCTTAAAGAAAAAGGGATGGTTTTGTTTACATTGGTGCTTAATATGTAAAACGACTTAGTTGGGTATATTTTCTGCAGGATTTTCTCTCATTTTAAAAACTCAAATTTTAGTGCACAGTCCACAGTAGCTCTGTACTTGGAAACCATGCAGTTAAATCCTCATGGATGAAGGTGCTTTCTGTTTTACAGCTACTGAAACTTAATCAGTATCTTTTAACCTGTATTTTGTCACAGTGGTGCTGTAAAATAGTAAAGATGCAGATACACTTAATGGTTTTTAGCACACAAAATAAGGTGGATAACTTATGACATTAATGTTCTACCCGTTATAGGTAGTTTTTTTTTTTTTTATCTTTCTCAGTCTGGAGAAAAATGGTTTAATTTTGGTGAATAGACAAGCTAACAGCTAGTCTGAGCAGCAGTGCAAGATCCAAAGTGGACTACTGTCTTTAAAAAAACTCAAAAATGTCACGGAAACACTTTTAACAAATCCTAATACTGCCATTGTTTCACATTACATTAAAATAGACTTTGGTATTTTTTTGCTAGCACAGATGCTGCAGCTAGCGCTAGCTGTTGCTAATAGATGGCTGCATCACTTTCAGTGCAGCCTGGAGAACTTGTATGATGGAATAAACTTGTAAAATAAAACTGGCATTGGTGTAAAATGTCATGGCATGTTGTTTGCATGAACTGCAATGAATTCTGTGGATGAGAGTTGTTTTAAGGTGGAATTAATCCATTTTGGAGCTGTCTGGCCTAGCCTTTAGCTCATCAGTTGGTCAGAATGAAACCGTTTCCTCAAAATGTTGTTGTTTTAACGTAAGTTAATAATCGGCCACACTTTCTGTTCAAATTGTGTTAATACTGATATTATTTTCTGTTGTGTCGAACAAGATTGGAACCAGACTGCCTTCTTGTAGGTGATTCTTTCCTGAGTTCAGAGCTGAGATTCCCTTTTCTCCCTTCAAAAACAGCCACATCTCTGAAGCTTAAACGACCATTTTATAAACAGGTGACTGTGGAGCTAACCCGGCATCACTAAACCACCGCTTTGAATCAAAGCACCCAGCAGCTATGGTCATGTTGGTATTATCCACTTTTCCACATGTTTGATCTTTAAAGGGTATCTTACTCTGTTGCCTTGGGGCGATTACTTACGGTACTTGTGATTCGATGAACATCTCCCTCCTATTGGTTCCTGGTTTCAGCTTAGCAAACACACAGCGTTGCCTCAGGGTGCTTGTTGTGATAAACCTGACGGAGCGGTAATAGAATAGACCTGTAGGTACACATAAATGTTGCATAACATCGGAAACAGGCTGGTCTCCAAACCTCTTAGTGTGTGATGGCTAAAGAGTTGAAAGGAGGGGAAATAACACTGTGTTCCAAATTGGATTTGGGAGAAAAATAGTGTCGGCTCTTTTGAACATAAACAAAAATTATTTTATACGTAACTTTCTGCCTTTGTGCATCCTGAAATCATGGAAAGGAACTTGATACTAATATAATCTGTTTGTGTGTGTCTGCCAGGCTTGTACAACTCTGCAGACAGCTGGATGATTGTACCGAACATCAAGCAGAACCACTACACAGTGCACGGCCTGCAGAGTGGCACACGTTATATCTTTTTCGTCAAGGCTATCAACCAGGCAGGAAGCCGCAACAGTGAGCTGGCACGCCTCAAAACCAACAGTAAGTGAGCACACGTCTGACACTTTTCCATGAATATTTACAGGCCTTGTTAATTTGGTGTTTGATTGGGAACACAATTGGAAGCTCTCATCTGCCCGCTTGTCTTTTGTGCATAATTTGCTGATGCTCACGGGCGTTTTGTTGTGTTTGGTTTATTAATGAGCGGCAGCTATGCAGTTTATTCCATTTAAATTACCTTTTGAATCAGAAGAATAACAATCAGGTGTTAGAGCGTAGGCTATTGCATCTCCTCTTCATAAGCAGCACATGAAAGAAGGAACACATTGCAGCATCTGCTGCGCTCACTCGTTTCAGCTGATGTCAAAACATGTTCTCACCTATTATAAGATCATTACATGTTTAAAATGAGCTAAACTTTTAAATAATTTTTATTTGGGCCAGATGGCCCAAACGAACTGCGTTTCTTTTGATTGTTTACTTGATAGCATCATGCCGCGTCTCCTTCAGGAGGTGCTTCTGGTGTTTTTGACGTCTGACCTGATTCTACAGGCCAGTACGGCATCACCAAGAGTTTGGTTTGCATCAGCAGCAGCACTCCTCTCAAGCCTGTCTGCCCTTTCTAACAACTCAGTTCAAATTATTAAAGGCAGAATTTCCACTCTTACTAAGAATTGAAAGTGTCCGATTTACTCATATTACTCAGTCTAGAGTTGTTTATTTCTAACTCTTCAATCATTTGAAAAACACTTTATAATCAGACTGAAGATGCTGAAGCTGTTGTTTGGTATCTTTGTTTCCCTCTTGTTGAGTATTAATGTGATTTTCATGTCCGCGTTCTACTGAAGACACTTTCTAGTGACACAAAGTCAGACATGGAAAGGGTACGGTTAAACTACCCATTCTGACTTGGATGTTCCAAAATCCTCTTTCTGCCATTTTAAGAGTATGTTTGTCAAAAACACTGTCCTCATGTGGACAGTCCCAGTCAGTCACTGTTTAGTTAAATTTACACCAAAGTTGATCAAACCTGTGATCGTCCTCAACTGCAGGGACTTCCAGTGAATAAACACACAGAAGCTTTTGGTCATTTATTCTTTACTCCTACTAATCCCTCTGTGTGTGTGTGTGTGTGTGTGTGTGTGTGTGTGTGTGTGTGTGTGTGTGTGTGTGTGTGTGTGTGTGTGTGTGTGTGTGTGTGTGTGTGTGTGTGTGTGTGTGTGTGTGTGTGTGTGTGTGTGTGTGTGTGTGTGTGTGTGTGTGTGATTCATTCACTTATGTTGTGAGACTTTTTTCCACATCCTTACTGATCTAAGGAAGCTGCTCTGGCATCTTTGACCTTTATTTATGCTGACACACTCACATTCAGCTTCTAGTTTTCTAACCAAGGTAATGGGCTTCTTTCTAACTTAATGCTACTTTATACTTTAATGTGGTTTCTCTGCTGCAGAAAGATGATACAATACAGCTGTGAACACTAGGAGTTACATCAGCCACTTTGGTCTCTGTGGATCCATTCGTCGGGGTCAGCTGATAAGCTAAAAACCTCAGTGAAAGAATTCATTTTGAATGGATCCCAAGAAGGCTCCATGAAATTATTCTTAAACCATAGCTATAGTGCAGTGCAGCACAAATGAAGCAGATGCATGGAAACATTTAGCTATTGTTCAGAGTTTGGCTAAATACCATTGTTTTGTTAAAACAGTTAAACACACTAAATTTCTTTCATTATTTTCAGTTTGGTTCTTTTAAAAAAAATGCACATTGCTCCTTTTGTATTAGTTCAAGCACAAAAAGTAATGTTCTGTCTATGTAAAGTATTTTAACACCATTGAAAACCTGAAAATATGAAACGAGAATGCTTCTCACAAAAAACTGGAAAAACATAAAAGCTGCAAATCATCACGACATCATCATCCTCCAACAGAAGGTACAGAGAAATCCTATGACTGATTTATATAAATAACTTTACACATGCATCAAAAATTACAATACAGTATTTTAGGACAATAAATGCTTTTCACAATATCAGTAGTACAGTAGTTGTTTTCTGTAGGATAATTCCTCCTCCTCTTCTTCTTCTTCTTCTGGCACCCAGTGATGTGTGGTAGAAAGCTTGTCCACCCACAGCCAACGCCGCTCATGATGATGAGCCTGTGATTGTCAACCGGCTCTGATGATTTAGACAAGCTGTCTTAATCACAGAAACATATTTAACAAATCTATCCACTCCATATTTTTGTCACTGGAAACTAAAACAATGCCACTAATTTGCATTGTGTTAAGATGAGTAAAATAAGGGTAACATAGTTTACGATATAAATATACACACTAGGATATGATATTTACTGTTTTTTTTTCTAGGATATTCTTTACAAGTTCTACAATAAGAGTAGATTTTCTTTTTCTTTTCTATGTAAATCTCTCTCTCTCTCTCTCTCTCTCTCTCTCTCTCTCTCTCTCTCTCATTCCATCAGTCTTGCTGCTGATGTTGTTACCCCCAAATTCCACTACCTCCACTCCGCTCCGACACGAACGCCGCAGCAAAATCGGTCCCGTTCTAGTCAATCAGAGCAATTCCACTACTGCGGCCGTGCTCCGGCAGTGCGGCGCATTGCGCCGCCCTCTGTTCCGACGTCCGGCAAAAATAGAATCGATCCTATTTTTGCCGGACGCCGGAGCACCTCCGCAGTAAATGGAAAGAAATCACAACCGCCCAACAGGAAAAGGAGCAAGCACAACTTCCGTTTTTCACAATACATCGATAAACAAAAGGTGTTTTTTGTTTCATATGCACAGGTTTAACAACTTTTAACAACTATCAATGGCGGCTGAAGTTTAAATGCACAAAAATAAGCCATAAATACAGTTTCCACTATCAAAGTAGTCACACTTTGTTGATCCAAACACTGCTGATCTCTCAACACAAATGATGGGCAGATTAAACAGTTCATGTCGATGCTTCTCCCACACAACGGATGTTTGGATCTAACTTCCGCGTTTATTGCTCGGACTGTATCGCAAGATCTCGAAAATCCCGCGCATGCTTGTTTGCCCCCCTCAGGTCTCCGCACCGGAGCGGAGCCGTTGTAGAGCGGGTACCAGTATAATTTGAGTTCGGAAGCGAGTGGCTGCGGAAGGCGGGGGCGGACCAGAGCGGAGCGGAGGTAGTGGAATTTGGGGGTTAGGATGCTCACCACCTGGCACTTATATCACTCAAATGGGGAGGAGCTTTATGCTTCTGAGTTGTAATCAGAACCATGGTGACAAACCCTCAGCTTTCTTAAGCAGGCTTCACGGCCTTCCTACAAGGGCTTTTTCTAGGGAGGGAGCTTCTGCTAAGAATTGAACAACTATTCAGACAGTTCTGTTAAGGCTGTTGAGACCAAAGCCTCATCATTGGTCTTCAGCTAGAGCATAGGAAGAGCAACCCACCATCATTCCCTGAGATGCTCCTTATGTTGAGAACTGAGGAAGGTCGACAGTCTGCTAAGCTTGACAGAATGAAGAAACACTTAGGATCTGCAAAAGCAAATGCACATGCTCATTCTGTTCTTGATATGCCTCCGTACAGCCATGAGCCTGGGTTAGGATTAAATGCAAACCAAAATGAACCTTCAAAACTTGAAAGCCGGGTGAAAGAACTAACTAAACAGGTGGAGAAGTTAAACCAAAGGCCTAAGAAACTTAGCTCTGATAGTGAGCCCTTATCCAGCCAGAAAGCCACACTAAATGACACGGCAAAGCTCGAGGAGAGAATAAATGAGTTATCTAGACAACTTGAACAACTCACTCAAAACCAGTCAGTTTCCAGAACCAGCACAAATGCTGAAAAGAAACAATGGTTAGGTTTAGGCAGCAGCGGTGTAAAACACCTTAGTAAAGTCCCTGGCATGCCAAAAGCCTGGTTCTGTTTCAGGTGCGGTGAGGATAATCACATTGCTGTTCGCTATCCAAATGAACCAATTCCTGCACTCGTTCACAAGAAGAATGCAGAGTTGAGAGTAAAACAAGATGGTTTTAACCCCGGTTTTCCACCGGAGCCGTCAGCAGCACATTACTGCAGCAGCACGTCTTGCTCGCGTAAGCTGCTGCTTGGCCGTTCCCACGAGACGCGAAGCAGCAGGGGAGCAGCTGCCACCGACAGAGCACGAAGTCACACGAGTGACTTCGTCAGTAAACACAACAACAAGCAGGAGAAAACTACAACATGGCTCCAAAACGTTTGTATTTTATGTTCTGTCCGTTTTATAATCGCCTATACAGACCTGAAAAACAAAGGAGACCGCTAGCTAGGTGATAACTTCTCACGGGGACGCTCATTTTGTAACCTTTTTTAAAAGTAAAGCAACTGGAAGGCAGAACGTTCTTTATTCCGAAAATCTCGGTAGCTTCTCTCCATTTCCGCGTCTGATTTCCTGTCTTTCCTTCCCCAAAAATGTCGAACTTGACGCGTTTCAGAGGCGTTGCGCGTAGAAAATAGAACCGGCGCGTAAAGGACGCGACATGCTGCTCCTGAGACGCGGCTGACTCGCGCTGCTGACGGCTCCAGTGGAAAAGGTTCTGTTGACCACAGCGGTTCCTATCAGCAGCTATGACGTGCTGCTGCAGTAACGTGCTGCTGACGGCTCCTGTGGAAAGCCGGGGTAAGGCTCAACAGGCTGCTGAACCTTTTGCTTTAAACTCCTAACAGCTCCTGCTGTAGGACACCCAGGAGCTGGAATCTCAGGTGGCCTTAGTCCCAGCATGCTAGTTCACAGTGCTGCAGCACAAGATAAAGTAGTGTCACCGACAATACAGCCAGATAATGATAAAAACGTTTCACTGCCATTTGGGCTTATAGGCCCTCGTTGTGCGGTTTCTGTTTTCCTTGAAAATGTAGAGTGTGAGTCCATTATGGTGACTGGCTCACAAGTCACAACTATCTCAGAACCTTTTCATAAAAGCTATCTGTCTCACCTGCCTGTCAAGCCAAATCATTCCCTCCTTGAAGTTGAAGGAGCAGGAGGACAGAATGTCCCGTATCTCGGCTACATAGAGGT